ATTTCTGAATTTATGTACATTTTGATCCTTCCATTCTCTTCAGATTTGATCCTTTCGGTCCTTCTTCCATTTTGATTCTTCCATTCAGGACTACATTCGTGCAAAAATTATTTACAACTAAACAGCAGGAATTTTGGAATATCCAAGGCGTACTCTGTGCACTCAAGTTTTAGGGCTAAGTTTGTATGAAACCAAAACTTTAAAAAGATAAAACATTCTTATGTTTTAACCGTCAATATAAAATCTCTCTAAATGAATACAAAGTTTGAATCGATCATAGAACTGCTTGATTCCTTCGCAGAATTTACCTTTTCGAATACTGTTTATGTCTCCGGTTATGATTTTTTTAACCGCTTCAATGCTATTAAATTAATGACCTTTAAAATGAAACCTCACGTTAAGAAAGAAAGTAGTTTTCAAATGACAAGTCTAGTAAGAGGGGGGATGATTGAGAATTGTTAGCTTTTTCTTTGCAAGACAATGCTTCAGTAGAGCGGAATGATGGACGAAACATTGTCATAAACAAAATTCATTTATGATTAAATTTTTCCATCCATACTTCGCTGACTTTTTCCTCCATAATAATAAATGCCGCTGTCAATGCTTCATTTTACCTTTCTTCCGAGTCTGTTGCCATTACGTAAAATGTAAGATACATATTTATCTTTCAAATTGAATCTCTTTGTTACGGATTAAAAACTAAGCTATTAAAAAGCAGATCTTAAGTATTATTTATTTCACTTTTGAATTAATTTTTGCAAAAGACAATACTTTTAAAACAGTATTACTTACCTTACTTTTGATTTGAATTGATTTAATAAAAATGCATTTCATTCGTGATATATCTAATTAAAAACATTCAGTATGTTTATAGAAATATATAAAGGAAAATATATATACATAGCTTAAAACATTAAATATTTTATTGAAATGTATACTTGTATGAAAATTATCCATGACATAAATATATATATGCATAATATAAATACATATATGCATAATTCTAGAGTCATTAGCTGATTTTGAAGCAGGAGAATGTGCGATGCCCTCGCACGACCTCGAACCCTGAATCTCTCGAATACGAGTCGAGTACGCTTCCAATTACAAAAGAAAGGGGAAAATACCTTATGTAATTCTCCTTTTTAAAGGAAACTGGAGATTGGGTGACCCAGTCGCCAAATCCTAGTGGCAACGAATTATCATCCACCAACTTTGGGTTCGGGAGCCACTTGAAGAATCATTAGGTTATTTTGAAGCAGGAGATATATAGCCAGGACTCGAACCTTGGACTGTTTGAATATTCGTTGAGTATGCTTCCAGTTACATGACGAAGGCACGCGGAAAGAAGGGAGAAAATGCTTTATAAATGTTTCTACGTTAATGCCAATGTGTATTAATTTAGTATCCTGTAAAATGTTTCACTCTTCCGCCTTAACCATCTCTATTGATATTAAACTTTAAAACAGCTCTTTTAAAAACGTTAACAACCTGAACATTTTCAGATTTTTTAAAAAATTTATTATTCACTTCTTTTTTGTAGATGTAACAATATTCATCAGTTCCTTTTTTTTTTCTTTATTCATCATTCAAACTTTACATGGTTTTCATTAATGAATTTAAAATGTAATGAAACGGAATATTTTTGGGGTTCTACCAAATATAATACTTGCAATCCAATAAAGTTAAATTCTTAAGTGTAACAAAAACTGCGCACAGATGCATAAAATACATTTTACTAAAACATTACGTTGCAAAGAAATATTTTATCTTGTATCTTGAATGATGATTCGCAGCATAATTAAACAGAAGAATATACATAGCATATAGAACACAACACCTAGTTCGGCTTTTGGCATTTCTATACGATTCATCTGCCTGGTTACCTTAAAATGAAAAATTGTCTGTCGCATGCAAGAAATAAACCAATTATAGTTATTCCTTTTCCTTTTTGAAGATGATATTCAAAATTTGTGACTAACCATTTATATAAAAGGCATAGAAATTCTATAAATTTTCTTCTGTACTGTTGTAAATGTCATAAGCCCACAGCAGAGGTCGGCAACCGTTTTTTGCAGCGGATGTAAATTAACCAAAACCAAAATTTATAATATAAGCCAAACATAATATAAACCAAAATTTATAATATTTTTATAATATAAGTTATAACCAAATTTATGTATTAAGAAGATGTTTTGGGTCAGCGGTATTTTCATTTTAAAAGAGTCTTTTTTTGGTGGATAATTAGATAAATTTTTTTATTGAGAAAATAATTAGAATATGTTTTAAACTTTAAACATAAAATTTAAAATTATAATTTTTATAGAAACAAATATAACTGAATGAACTCCTTCTATATCAATGGCTTTCCTGATACTGAACCTGTGACGTCAATTTAGTCAAGTCTTAGAGCTGACTTAAATACAAACTTCTGAATTTTCGATAGTTAACCTGCTCCTGTTCTTACTGAAAATAAATTTCATGCGTGGAAATGTTTCCTCGCATTTATAAGTTGAATCAAAGGCGCACCAAATGGCAAGGCCATTCATTTGTTTCGCTACTGAATTTAACTCTATTGTACAAATACTACAAATGAGAATGAACAAAGAGAACGACATTAATGTTGCCAGATGTCTTTCAAGGATATATTACAGATCGACGTTGCGAAATTTATCGGATTTACAATTTTCATTTTTCAAAAATTAAATACATATTCGTTACTGCAACTTTGTAATCAAACAAAAATATTATTGTTATCATTTATTTTCAGATTGTTTTTCATGTATTTTTTAAGTATTGTTTCATATCTATGAGTTATAATTTATTTTTATGCATTATACTTCCTTTCCGGAAATCAAGTGGGTCACTTAAAAATATGAACTCGGTGACCCGCGTGTCATCGGTTGTCGAAGCCTGGCCTTCTTCGGTAGCCAGCTTCTTCACCTCCTAGTAAGCCTCTGATTCTGTAACGAATCGAATAGAAGAACGCGTGAAAACTGCTGCGGTATGATTTGCTACTTGCTAAAGCTGTAACATTACTTTTAGAATAAGTAAAAGCTATTAGTAAAAGGAAATGTATTAGGAACATTCTGCACTGATGGTATACAGTCTAACCAAAAAAAAGGGACAGACTCCCGTTCTACTGGGCCGATTTTGACGAAACTTAATTTCCGTTTTTCATGTCTTGAAGGCGCAACTTAGGTTATGTATTATATTTATATATAACAGCATATTATATCATATATAGGTATTTTGACACAAAAAAAACTTTTACTGATATGACATATCGTAAATACGGCCGGCTTGTGTCGGCTAGGAGGATCGGTGCTGTGCCCTTATGATGATGATGATGGCATATCGATTTTTTTTCATATTTCGATCCTATGACTCAAATTACACCTAAATATTAAATTTTGCAAAATTTAGTGAGATTTCTTAATGTATGGTATGTTAGTTTCTTTTCCCTTTCATTGTGCGCGAGCGGAAAGAAGGGTGCATCGTTCATTCTTTCAAAAGTGCATAAACCACGTTTGCCGTTATTAAAGCTTATAATAACAAATGCGCCAAATTTTAAAATGCGGCAAAATTTACGTATATCTTGGGAAATTTTGATTAAAAATTCTATTTTTCTAGAAATACATCTACTTTAAGGTAATGTTTAAAACTTTGTAAGTTATGATTCAAAAATGTTTTCAAAAATTTTATAAGAATTACAGAAAAATACAAATTTTAAAAATAAATCAGAAAATAGCTGCGAATTTTATTTGGATTGAGCCTAAATTTCAAGCTGTGAAAGAAGTGAAAGTGTGAAAGAAAGTGAGTTTAATAAAAAAAAAAAGAAACGTTAATAATTATACATAAAATTCAATTAACATTGAGAAGCTAAAATTTTGAGAGCTAATTTTTTAAAAACTGCTTGTTCGATTTTACTAAATATGGCACTTCTGCATAACTTGTAGAATCGAAATATGGAAAAAAATCGATGTGTCATTTCAGAAAAAACCCTACTTTATATCAAAATACCTATGTTTGAACAACGCTATATATAAATTAATATCTACTCTAAATCGCGCTTTTGAGACATGAAAAACGGAAGCACTTGCAAAGGAAAAATAAAAACGTATCTGATAATCCATTTTATGTTCAACTAAATAACTGATGTCCGCCGAAAATACTGCAAGCGGGAAACATTGTCTTATAAGGCACTGTGGGAGGAAAAAAAGTAATAAAACATGATATAAAACATCATCGTATAAAATAAAGCATAAAAAATGAAGTTTGAAAATATCATTATGAAAAATACCGTGGTAAAAAATAAAGCATCTTTCTTTGACGTTTCACCGATGGACTATTGTGTCTTTGATCTCTTGAAAATGAGCTCTCTAAATTCCAACCCACCATTAGTGATGGATTCTAGAAAGTAATGAATAAAAATGAAAATGAATACCCCTGGAAATTTTAATGAAAAGCTCTTCCATATGATAGAAATCCCGATGCAAACTTATGACTATAAGTTCAGATAAAATCGAACATTTAAAAAAATGTTCTTTACATTTTAACATTAGTTGGTCCCAAAATCGTACCAAGATTATTATAATCACCAATGATATTTAACGTTGCATCGTTCTTAAACCGAAAAAATAGACAGCTACTTCTCGGGAAATTTTCAATTTCGTGATAGGGTCATACATTCCTAAGAACACTATTATAAAATATTAAAACAAAAGATTAGATTTAAAGATAATAAATAGTCAATAATGTTTGCTAAGATTCTTCAAATATGTTTTTGTTATTATTTCTATGTTTTGCAATGAAGGTGTCACTTAAAATATCAAACTGCGCATATGTCGTTCGACAGAAAACTGATGGGTTTTGTCCTATAAGAGAAAATATCCACAGATTCTTTTCTTTACCTTTCGTTATTCATTTTAAGCAACATTTGATGATGTATACCAATCATTGAACATTTAATGACAGAAAATGGGTAAATAAAACGGACTAACCTGATGCTAAGCCTAGAAGTATTCCTTCTAACGCTACAACAAAGACGTAAAACTTCATGTCCAGGTTTCGAATAATTTGGGAGCAATACTTCGCATTAAGTGGAAATTTTCAGCTTCTATCACGCCTTGCTCGCGGTGATAGGCCTGAACAAACATATTATCATCATTCCAATATCCGTTATTCTCTCCATGTCGCCACCTGAGTTAAGTTGATCGTCATAGTTCAAAGAAGATATTATCGTACTTTCGCCCACTCAGAGGATTTGGGTGGGAGCGGTAAGCCGAGGCTAAGTTCATGCATAAGCATTCCTATGTTCATACACCAACGAAAGCGTGGTTGAGAAACAAGCTTGTGAAATCGAGCAGGATATGGACTCGATATCATCTAACTGGAAATACACTTTATCGATCAAGTTTGATTTTGCAATGTTTTGAAGTTGATTTTCATCAACTGTTTCTATTCTGTTTCATTCTATATGATATTCCATGCTTTATTCCATTCTCTGCTACATTTTGTGTTATTTTCTATATTATGTTTTATAATCTGTTCTACCCCATTCTATATTTTATTCTATTTTACCCTGCTGTACATTATGTTATATATATATATTCAATTTTATCCAATGCTATATTCTGTTCTACATTTAATTCTATTCAATATTGTACTCCTTTCTCTACTACTTTATTCTGTAAATACTTTCTGATCTATACTTATGGCACAAATTCATTTATAAGCTCTTGAACTGAATTGAATCCGTCGATAAATATACACATAAATACACTATAGAATAAATTCAATCATTCTTTGAGATTTATTATGTTTATTTTCTACAGACACACTCAGCCGTTACTCTCAAGGTAACTTCTCAAATTACATTATATAAAAAGAACACACACTACATCATATTATACGTTATCAAATCGTTGCCAAATATTCGATGCAAATATCATAATAAAAACGAAAAAAAGAATCTGAGAAGGGCGAGGATTTTAACGATCGTCCAAAACGATTTGTGCCTCCGAACCAGGATAATGGTTAGTACGCTGACTGCCCTACCAAAGGGTTCGAGTTAGAATTCAGGAGAAGGCACGGGTGTTTGTAAATGCATAGTGTCTGTGCGGCATGGAGGCACTCTAAATATGCGACGAACCGAAAGTTCTTATGAGAGGTTGATGGTAGGGATAAGGGAGTGGGAGATCCTCGGACCCGTCGCCTCGGGGTGCTCTCCATCAAAATTGGGGGCGGAACTGAGCAAAGTTGTACTGTTACCTATAAAGTGCTCAAGGCTCTTACCAACAATAGACGCAGTCTTGCACTCCTTGCCACTTTGGATTTTATGGGCTTGTTCTGACTTAACTTGTAAGGATCTTAAGTTTTACTAACGTTTATTTTATTTTAAATCTTTACTATCACTTCTTATTTTCTACTTCCGGCCAGAATTATAAGCGTTAAGGTTTTTATGCAAAGTTTGTCTGGCGAACGCCAAGTATTTAAGTTGTGGCTTTTTGCCAAGCGAGAGAGAGGAAGCAGTGAGTCAAAGCAGGCCGCTTACCTTAGAAGTTACTTAGTTGCTGTTTGCCTTCCAGGCCAGAGGTTTTAATCCTCTTGATAAATTTAAACGTATTGTAGTGTTCACAGTCTCTGTACTACATACGCTTCCTGTTAATATAAGGCCAATCTTCCACGTTTATTATTCTAAAGTTAAATTAGAGTTTAGTTTTATTTTTATACTTTTACGTTAGACCCCAAGTAGCGGGTCGGTGTATTCCGAAGTACGGAAGTTATTGTATATAGAGAAAAATAAAGGGTTTTGTATACCCTTCGTCTGTATCCTGTCTACTTACCACAATTAGTGAACATAGCTTTAGTAAGCTCTCTGTTCCGAGTCAGGTCCTTGTATGTTCCCGAAGAAGGTAAGAAGGAACATTGACCCTGATAGTGGCGCCCAACGAAGAAGAATAACCATGGCCGAGTTTCAAGAAGAACCTGTGCTGCCTGCAGAAACGGCTCAGAATCCAGAAATGCCAGCTGCCGCCCTGGAAGGATTTGGTTACATCGTCCAGACCATGCGCGCTTCGATGAAACCAGAAGCAACATTTAATGGAAACTCACCGGTAACCAGTTTTTTGGAAAAATTGGATGACCACTTCATGCTCTACCCCGTGCACGAGTTTCAAAAAGTTACCTTAGCTACCAGCGCTTTGAGGGGCCAAGCGCTTAACTGGTTCAAATGTATAGGCAGAAGTCTCTTGGGTCAAGCAGGAAGTCCCACCTATACTTACGAAAATTTCAAGACTGCCCTACTAAAAGCCTTCCCTGTTGTAAGGGATCGTGCGAAATTAGAAACGGAACTTTTCAGTATATATCAACAAAGAATCGAAAACCTCTCGAGCTTTATTTTAAGAAAAATTCACGTTTTCAAGCTCTTGTATGGAAACCGTCCGGATCCTGAAATAATTCAAGTGATTTTGCCGAGGTTACTGCCCCAAGTGCAAGACTTTATTGAATTAAGAAATCCGACTACACTGGAAAAGTTATTTGAGCTAGCAATCCAGTTTGAAAGTAGAAGAACGGCGGACGTCGAAAGAAGACGCCAATATCAACAGCGAAACCAATTTGGTACGCCAAGACTACAGCAAACTCAAGCACACGGCTACGGAGAAAAAAGCGAATCAGTGGGCAAGGAAACCCGAGCATTCAAAAACAGCCGGCGAACGTCGACAGTTCAATAGCAACCCAGGAAAAAAGTCTCAAGGCCAGTGGAAAAAGAAGGAAAGCACGGAAAGGAAAAATAATTTAAACTAAAACGGATTTCTGCTGACGGGAGGGTGCGGAAATCCGAAGGCCACGAAAAACCCCTCTTCCTACAAGTTAAATACAGTAATGGTGAAAAATTTGACTCTTCCGAAGATTGAAGTCTTGGTGAATAATATCCCAGCCACCGCACTCCTGGATACCGGCGCGCAGTGTTCCTGTGTGGCAGAAGATTTTTTAGGAAGTATTTTCGCAAATACCGCATATATAATTCGGATAATACGACAGTGTTAGCGGCGCAAGGAGAAAAATGTAAGTGCGTAGGTAAAGTACCTTTGTATATCCGTATCAAGGACGAACAAGTAAAGGTGATGTTTTTTATAGTAAAGAATCTGCAAGCACATTTAATTTTAGGAATAGATTTTCTTTCAGAAGCACAAGCTACGCTGGATTTTAATGAAGCGTCCCTTAAGCTGACAATGAAACCAGTTCGTACAGAAAAGGCTGAACCGCCGATGTTAAAACTTGACCACCTCCCTAATGACGAGCAAGGAAGAATCCGACAAGTGGTAAGTGAATTTGCTTCGTTATTTAGTGATATTCCAGGATTTACTCAGGTTACTAACCATAGTATTGACACCGGAGATGCAATGCCAGTTCGTCAAAAAACCATACCGGTATGATAAGAATAAGGAAAAAAAATTATAGAATGGCATATTACCGATATGCTACGTAAAAAGATCATAACGCCCATCTCAAGTAGTTATGCTAGCCCGGTGGTTTTATGTAAGAAAAATAATGACTATCCTTTGACGCATCCAAAAAGGTGGAGATTCGCTATTGATTACCGTAAATTAAACTCCATAACTAAATATCCGGTATATCCGTTACCTATTATTGAAGAAAGATCTAAGGAAACATAACTTCACCAAATATATGACGACTTTAGACTTAACGACTGGTTATTTTCAAATAGGGGTTAGGCCTGAGGACGTGCCTAAGACTGCTTTTATAACCAAGTCTGGCACTTATGCATTTTTGCGTATGCCGTTTGGCCTTTCAGGGGCCCCGGCAACATTTCAGCGATGCATGGACATTGTGTTAAGACCTGTTCTTGGAAAGTCCACATTTATCTATTTAGACGATATCATTATTACTAGTGATAATCTCGACCAACATGTACAGGATTTAAGACAGGTGTTTTCTTTATTAAATGAGGCCGGTCTAAAAGTTAATGTCGAAAAGTGCAAATTTGCAGCCCCTGAATTAAAATATTTAGGTTACAAAATATCTCAAAAAGGGATCGAGACAGATGAATCAAAAATAATCGCTGTACAAAAGTATCCGACTCCAAACACGGCAAAGAAGCTCTCTTCTTTTCTAGGACTTTGTTCATATTATAGGTCCTTTATAAAAGATTTTGCAGCTATTGCTGAACCATTGTTAAAATTAAAAAGGAAAAAGGCAAGATTCTCGTGGACGGCCGAAGCCAATAGTGCTTTCGAAAAATTAAAACAAGCATTAACGCAAGCCCCTGTGTTGAAATTTCCTGAAAAGGATGAGAATTTAGAAATTTCAGCGGATGCTTCGGATTATGCGGTAGGAGCGGTACTTTCGCAAAATCAGCAGCGCCCGTGGCATTTTTTAGCCGAACTTTAAATCAAACACAAAGAAACTATTCCGCGACCGAGAGAGAGGCACTTGCAGTTCTGTTAGCAGTGCAAAAGTTCCGAGTCTATTTTGGAAAGGCGCCGATAACAGTGTACTCTGATCATGCGGCGGTAACTAGATTGTACTCAGGGAAAAAATTTATCCCCAAGGTTAATAAGATGGGCACTCAAGCTGCAAGAATATAATCTGGTAATCAAGCATACCCCCGGAAAGGAAAATATCGTAGCAGATGCCCTATCAAGAATTAAAATAGACGAACAAGGTAATACCGTAAAGGTGGCAATGCTCACAGCATGTACAATAAATTCCCGAGAAACTGTAATAACCGAACTGGGTAAGGATCCTGAGTTTGGAAGCATTTATGAGTATTTAAAGGATCCTGAAAATTTTAGCCACCAAGATATTGTGGCGATAAGAAATAGGGCGGCCCATTACGAACTAATAGATGGTCTATTATTCTATACAAAAACTACGAATTCCAACAACGAATTTCGACCTGTTATCCCAGCTAGTCTTAGATTAAATATCCTGCAGGAGCTCCATGACAGCCCTTTAGCTTCTCATGCTGGTATTCGAAAAACTATCCAACGCGTACGCGAGGCAGTCTACTTTCCTGAACTGCAAAAGTTAACAAGGGCGTATGTCCAGTCCTGCCCAACATGTCAAGCAGTTAATTATATTAATTTCCGCCCGGCCGGGTTTCTAAATAGTATTAAATCCGAATTTCCA